TTTGGCTGTTTCTTCTTTCTTCTAACAGACACCCAATCTCGGGGACGTGGATGGGGTACGAAAACACAGTAAACGGATCCAGTGAGAGTTGGAAGAGCGTTCTTGTGGTAATGACTTGGCTGGGGTCAAGACGCTGGCTAGGTCTTGCGTAGGGAAGCCAACGACGCGCTCCCAGGGAACCAGTTGAGTACCACTCTCGGTGAACTGGTGATCATCCCAATTCTGGTGTGAAAGATGATCCGTCTTGGAGGTGGGATCAACAGGCTCATCCCTTGATCCGGTATTATTCAGACGCTCCAGGAGAATGTCATCGCTATCGCGAGAGTCTGAGACCAACTCATGGTGAGGTTGATGAGTCTGGGGTGGAGCGACGTGTGGAGGATAGTGGAAGACAAAGTTTGGCCCATCGCGAGACCTCTTGATGACGAGTGCGACAGCAAGAAAGTTTGATGTGTTCGGAAGCACTGGTTGCGACATGATCGCAGCAGATGGGTCCGGTGTATGGTGTCTGGTGTCTGGCTTCTTGGTGGGCTGAAAGATGCGGCTACCGCTGGGCCATGTTTGAATGATCACTGAATGAATGAGTGCTATCGTGACAGTGGGTGGGTCACTGCATGATCGAATCGCCTAGAGAAGGATCCCGTCCGGAACGACTGTCATTAGTACTTCAGCCGTGACAAGTTCTCCGCATAGAACGAGATGATAGATGGCGAGTCGGCTCTTTCAACCTATTGAGCTGCAGTGTTGCTCTCTCTCTATATCCATGATAGGTATGCAAGGTACGTAGGTAGGTTCGTGATGGGGCATGCGATGGAACGATGGCGGTGGGATGCATTACCTAAGCGAACCCACCATGGCGGAGGTGCACGTGCCCTTCCCTTCCCATGGAGTGACGGCATGTTCTTTCAGGGGTCCGGATCCACGCTTTCTCAGGTCAAGTGGTCAGGGCATGAACGGGAGAATGGCTCCAGTAGAGAGAGCGTTGTGAGGCGAGGCGGGTGCTAGGGAAGGGAAGACCCCTTTGGCCCCCTCCCCCTCCACACCACCACGAATAAGTGGCTCTCAAGGTTATCACATGTTTTGATCTGTCATTTTGACTGGACAGTCCTCATCTCCCTTTGCCGTTGACAAGGTGCTTCCAAACAACGGCCAACCTAGAGCAACCACAACGTACTTTATTGATTTTCTTTTCCGGACGGACCCAAAGTAATCTATCGTCTAGAAGGGCAACAGGTCGTGTGCTCATTCAGAAAACTTCCAAGCAGATCACCACTACTCTCCCTCGTCCTACAACCCTCCTGTGGCATCCTCATTCCAACAACCCCTGAGCGGCAGACCTCAACCCCTCCTTTGCTGCAGCGCTGCTGCATTGCGACGACACCCCCACACCTCGCAACTCCTGCAGACCACTTCACTCCTACATGGCCGGCCCCTCGCCTACGAGTTCCAGACCGTAACAATAGACCCTCTCGAACACCCCAAGGCGGCATAGCCTTGCGTCGTCCACGCCGCACCGATTTCGATTTTGATTTCGATTTTGATCCTGCATTTCCGCCTCATCTCGACATAACCTGACGGTGTGTCGACTCTCCTGCGCCTCGACCTCGCCCCTCCACCCCCCCTGCGCGTGAGAGATCGCTGGCTCCTTCCTTCGACTGTCCGCGTCCTTCTGCCGAGCCGAGCAGACTCAGTGCTGAGCATGACTTCGTCCAACACCAACGGTCTCAAGACCGACCATGCAGATGTCCGATTCATTTCCTCCTCCTACGGCGGCACCGACCCGCACCAGTCTGCCATTCAGTTGATCTTGGCTGTGCGACCTGAGTGGGCTTCGGACGATTCCAAAATCGAGTTCGCCCGCTTTACGGACGGCATCACAAATACGCTGCTGAAGGCGGTCAACAAGAAAGAAGGCTGGACAAAAGAGCAAGTCGATGCTGAGGCTATTCTGCTGCGTGCCTACGGGTCAGGCACTGCTGTCCTCATTGACCGCGAGCGCGAGGCCCAGAACCACGAACTGCTGTCGAAGCATGGTCTCGCTCCTGAGCTCCTGGCGCGCTTCAACAACGGCATGCTGTACCGCTACATCAAGGGCAGCGTCACGTCCCCTGACGATCTGCGCAAGCCTGCCATCTACTGTGCTGTAGCGGGACGACTGGCCGAGTGGCACGCCACCGTACCTTGCATCCAGCAAGCCAAGCCCGCCTCCAACGGCGCGTCCCATCAGCAAAGCAACGGCAACGGCACCAGTAACGGTAACGGCGCAGGTCACGAGGACCGTCAAATTGTCATCGACAATGTCGCGCCTGGTAAACCTCCCCCCAATGTTTGGACTGTCATGCAGAAGTGGATCTTTGCTCTGCCCGACACGACTGCCGAGCAAAAAGCAAGGCAACGCACGCTTCAGGTGGAGCTAGATAGCCTAGTTGAACAGCTTAGCCAGCGTCCTGGACTGGGCGTCAATGGGGTAAGCTCAAACTCCATGTTGATGCGTGATCGCTCTGTAACTGAACCGTGTCCGTCTAGCTCGTCTTTGCTCACTGTGACCTCCTGAGCGGCAATGTAATCATTTTGCCCGGCCAGCCTGGCGATGTTGAGGGCGCAAAGTCGGTCACCTTCATCGACTACGAATACGCAACGCCCTCCCCGGCCGCGTTTGACCTTGCGAACCACTTTGCCGAGTGGGGCGGTTTCGACTGCGACTGGAGCGTCATGCCGACTCGCGCACAGCGCCAGACGTTCATCACCAAGTACATCGAAAGCTACTTCGCCTCCCAGCAGAGCGAGGTCGACCATGAGGCCGAGGTCACCAAGCTTATGGATGAGGTCGACCTCTTCCGCGGCGTCCCCGGCTTCTACTGGGGCATCTGGGCCTTGATCCAGGCCACCATCTCCGACATTGACTTTGATTACGCCTCTTACGCCGAGACGCGCCTGTCCGAGTACTGGGCTTGGAAGGCCGAGTCTGACGGCAGCAGGGCTGCCGCAGGTCCGAACAAGCCTCGGCGCGAGAAAGCGATGGGAGCCAGAACGAATAGCCAGATTGCCCTTCTCTAGCCTCCCAGGTAGAGTATACTTCATCTGGATGGTGATGAGGCGCGTTTCTGAGCCTGGCTGATTTTCGATTCGACTTGTTCACAGAGGGGAAGGCAAAGGAGTTCCGGCACGAATTTTCTGGACATACCACCTCAACTGCGTCACAGAAAGAAATGGTTGGATGGGAGCGAAGCATGATATATCCACACGGGCCGGCGTCATTCAACATGAGCTCAGTAGAAGGGGGAAAGAGCTCCGGGGCGTTGCATTATTTTTTTCTCCCATTCGTTCAGTCAAAAAGAGCGAGCCCCTCGTACATAATAATTACACACAATGTTGTCCCAAGTCACTTGCTTGGACATTTACATCAAACGCGCACTACCTCATCGGACTTGACGCTGGGCTTTGGCCTCGGGTGACTGCCGCAAGACCATGCA